TTAATTAATTAATAATTACCGCTCACCTCAAAATAGAAGGCGGGTGGATATTTTTCGAATAACTTTTAATAGGAAGAAGATAGAGAGCTGCGATTTTCACCGTTGGAAAGAGGCCTATCCAGCGCATCGATTCATATAAAATTGTTGCAATTTATTTCATACATAAATAGTGATCTATGGTTATCTTGAAAGACTAGCCTAGGGCTCTATGAAGATAGAACATATTTTAAACCTTCAGGAGTGGATTAAAATCGGTAGCTGATGAGCTACAAAACTATATATAAGGCTTGATTCAAAGCTTTACTGCTTTGGGAGTTGTAGGTATTATATTCGACAATTCTAGTCCACTTTGCACAAATTTATGCAAAAAAAACTCTTTTTTTCACTTTTTTCGTTTTTTCCTAAAAAAATCTGGCCTGTTGTTAAGGCATTTCTTTGTGCAATTATTGCAAAACGTTTCAAAAGCCCAAGTTAAAAGTCATTGACTTATAAGGTTCGATGTGCTTTTATCTGTTCTTTTCAGCGGTAAAAGTCACAGCTATCTATCTGGTTCCTATGAAAAGTTATTTAGAAAATACTCACCCGCCTTTTATTTTGAAACCGGCAGTAGTTATTAACTATTTCCTATTGTGTATTTTCTTGATTTCTTTTCTTATTGTTTTTCTTTTTACATGTAATTACCTATGTACTTTCCCAATTGTATTGTTACTTACTTGGAATATGTAATCCACTGTCTAACATTTGGTATAAATACCTGCTGTTTTTTATGTGAGAGTATCTAATTTAGGTTAGAAATAAACTTATATACACAATAAAGTATTAAAAATCTAATATCTGAAAGCAGTCCTTCTACGAGAAAGAGCTGAGCGAGTTTGTAGACGAGCATTACTGTATCTCAAGCTTGAAACTTGAATTGAATTGAGTATTCAAGCTTCAAGTTTCAACCCTTTCCGGATGTGTTCTTCCCGGCATCCATACCAGGTGCGATGTGACGTATGTCGTATTGTGGCCACGAAAAAAGCGATCACTGCTTTCGTAGCACCCATACGAGGTGCGATGTGATGTGTGTCGTACTGGTGCCACTCCTTTCGCGGCACCCACACCAGGTGCGATGTGATATGTGCCACATTGTGGCCACTCCTTTCGCGGCACCCACACCAGGTGCGATGTGATGTGTGTCCTATTATGGCCATTCCTTTCACAGCACCCACACCAGGTGCGATGTGATATGTGTCAAATTGTGGTCACTCCTTTCGCGGCACCCACACCAGGTGCGATGTCATGTGTGTCGTATTATGGCCATTCCTTTCACAGCACCCACAATAGGTGCGATGTGATATGTGTCATATTGTGGTCACTCCTTTCGCGGCACCCACACCTGGTGCGATGTGACGTGTGTAGGGGAGGGAAGTTACCGTTACTACCTAGTTACGTTACCCGGTAACTAGTAACTCCAAAGTTACTAGTTACCGAGTAACTAGTAACGCCAAAGTTACTAGTTACTTGGTAACTAGTAACTTTGGAGTTACTAGTTACTTGGCAACGTAACGGTAACTTCCCTCCCCTAGACGTGTGTCGTATTGTGGCCACTCCTTTCGCGGCACCCACACCTGGTGCGATGTGACGTGTGTCGTATTGTGACCACTCGTTTTGCGGCGCCCACACCAGGTGCGATGTGATGTGTGCCGTATTATGGCCATTGCTTTCGCGGCACCCACAATAGGTGTGATGTAATGTGTGTCGTATTGTGGCCACTCCTTTCGCGGCACCCATACTAGGTGTGATGTGGTGAGTGTCGTATTGTGGCCACTCGTTTCGCGGCACCCACATCACGTGTGATGTGATGTGTGTCGTATTGTGGCCACTCCTTTCGCGGCACCCATACTAGGTGTGATGTGGTGAGTGTCGTATTGTGACCACTCGTTTCGCAGCACCCACATCACGTGTGATGTGATGTGTGTCGTATTGTGGCCACTTCGTTCGCGGGCACATATATGTAAAACTTGAAACTTGAATTCAATTATTGAATAGTTGTTTCAACTATTCAGTTATTGAATATTTGGAGTTTAAATAGTTAAGTATTCAGTAGTGGGTCTAAACATGATATACTTCGATTGCTGTGTACACAGAGACGAGCATGGTCCGCGGCTCTTCAGGGAGCGCTTCGCGCCCCCACGCCGCGACGCTGATATAAAAGGTCAGTTAGTCGGGGAAAAGCGCTTACCGCCATCAGTCAATATTCGTAAGTTTATGGAAGAGTTCAAGTCAACTTTCAGAACTAACACTATCGAATATTTAAAGTTCAACTATTGAATTATTGGATAACTGAATACTTGAACAGGTGAACTTCAACTATTTCCCAAATGAATATTGAACATCAACTATTCCTTAGATGACTAATGGAATATTTGAATAGATGAACTTTAACTATTCAGCAATTGAATAGCTGAATACTTCAAAGCTTGAAATTCAAGTACTCAATTATTGAATAGTTGAGTTGAATTTTCAAGCTTGACATACAGAAACGCTCCTCTACAGACTCGCTCAGCTCTTTCTTGTAGAAGGACTGCTTTCAGATATTAGATTTTTAATACTTTATTGTGTACATAAGTTTATTTCTAACCTAAATTAGATACTCTCACATAAAAAACAGTAGGTATTTATACCAAATGTTAGATAGTGGATTAGATATTCCAAGTAAGTAACAATACAATTGGGAAAGTACATAGGTAATTACACGAAAAATGAAAGACAATATGAAAAGAAATCAAGAAAATACACAATAGGAAATAGTTAATAACTAATTATTAATTAATTAATTAAAACTGATCTCAGATTTGGACTCCTCACCTTCGATTATCTTTAGTGAAGTTTTACGAAAAATAATAACAATTGATAATTAATTAATAATTAGCTAATAATTAATTAGCTGAAACTAACGTCAGATTTGGATTCGTCACTCCCGATTACCCTATGATGAAGTTTTATGGAAAACATTAATAATTAACGATTAGTTACTAATTAATTAATAATTGGTTAATAATTAATTAACGATTAGTTAATAATTGGTTAATAATTGGTTAATAATTAGTTAATAATTGGTTAATAATTAGTTAATCATTGGTTAATAATTAGTTAATCATT